CTTTTGGGCAGTCCCACTGTTGTGGGTAGATCCTAATTTGACTGGGCTTTCATTTGCTGTGACTTTAACCTTTCTTGAGTGGGGAGATGACCAAGGCTGGTGACCTGCTCCCTCCTGAGAATCCTTCCTCAGAATGCAAATATTGAGCACCTGGTTTAAACCACCTGGCTATGCTTCCAAACTGGAGAAGCATGGGCCAAATCCAGGGGAACCCACATGTGGTTCACTTTGTGGCTGAGACAGAAGTGTTGCTCACAGCAGAGGGGAAACAACAGCCTGTCTCCTGCTCCGAGGCTGACAGCTGATCAGCTGAGAGGCAGAGGAAAGTGGGGGAAGTCACATTTCCCCATGATAGAAAATACTTTCCACTCAGCCAAGTGGGGCTGGCTGAGGTATACTGGGAATTACAGAACTTTCTACCATCAAAGCACACATATGATTGCCACCCAGCAGGCAAGTTTATTTGAAAATATGCAGAACATCAGATGCACTGCACTGCCCAGGGCTTCTTGTGGCAGCCATATTGAAATAGCAGGGCTTAAAAAATGTTTTAGATAATGCCTCATTCTATTCAAATCTTGCATCACTTTCTTCATATGGTATTTCTGTTAAGCAGGAGCCTTAACTATCATGAGTCTAATATTCCCTCTGCCGCCATTCCTTTTTTCTCCCCAGGACAACCATTTGACCCCCATTTGCAGATTAAGAATGCAGTTTCAAATATCATCTGCTCCATCACTTTTGGAGACCGTTTTGATTATTCTGATAGTAAATTCCACAAGCTATTGCACTTGACTGATAAAATCTCAGAGCTTCAAGGAAATACTTGGATTAAGGTATGGGAATATTGAGGAAATCACACCCCAAACCCACCCATTTTCCTGTCTGGCAGACTTGATTGTTCTTCCCAAGTACCTCTCATTCTCTGTCCTCAGACAGTCCCCCTTTCCTCCTGTGTCCAGTACCCTCCTGCAGAAAAGCTTAGGTGACACTGAGCATGCATGGCTTGAGGTATGTGTGTTTTCAGTATTCCCCCAAATATGTGTCACATGCTAGCACACAGCTAAGTCTTCCAGGCACAGAATCATGAGCTATGCCAGAACCCATCCATATGGATTCTTACATGCTTGCTTCCTCCTGGGGGTTATTGAGCAGTATCCTACAGTTCCACACCACTCCCAGTACTTCCATTGCTCCAGCAGGAAGTCAGATTCCAGCTGAACATTGGGAAGAACTTCCTGACTCTCAGCACAATGCAACAATGGAACCAATTAGCTGGGGGGAGGGGTCATGGTCTCCCCCACACTAGAGGTGTTGGCTTGGAGTTCTGCATTGACCAGGGGACTGACACAATGGCCTCACAGGCTCTTCCATCTCTACCATTCTATGATCCCTGATTTTATACTCTTTTTCTTCTTTCTGGTATGCATTACATATGACTCTTCTTTCTGCTAGCCCCTTTCTCTTGATAGTACAATTATGTGCAATTGTTTTGAGAAGAGAATTAGAAGGTCCGCATTTTGTCTCTTTCAAGACATGCTATTGTACTGTTTGTTTCCTCAGCTGTACCAAGCCTTTCCAACCATCATGAAATACTTCCCAGGACCTCATCACACTATTTTTAAAAACTGGGGACTTTTCAAATCCTTTGTGAGAGAAATAATTGACAAACACAAAGAAGACTGGAACCCACATGAAACAAGAGATTTCATTGATGCTTATTTGAATGAAATGGCTAAGGTAATTAATCAACCAAAAAGAGGAGGGAATTTTGTTCCTTATTTTTTAGGTATTCTACCGTCACTCCACCCTTGCAGGACTAGACTTGGGGGGAAAGAAAGATGATGTGGAGGGACAGGGCTGGAAGACTCCTTCTTCCCACATGCCAAAATGCCTGAAGGAGCTAGATATAACTTCACAACTCTTCTGTAAAAGATATGAGCATAAACAATAATAATAAGAACAATTTGTAAGAAGATTTCTCTGGAGTCATCACATGCTCTACTGTAATTACTGCCTTTGTGGATCCCATTTTCCTAGCTTTGGAATCCAGTTCAGCAGTTATGGGGAGTCTTTCCATTCCCTTCCTTTGTACTTAATCCCAGCTTCAGAAATTCCAGTGAATCTTGGATTGATGGTATGAGGTCCTAAATGGAGATGCTGAGCCATCTGACTGCAAGGGATGATGTTTTCATGAAAGGCTCGCATGCTTCTTCATTCACATTTTCTCAGGAAGACGCTGCTCCCAGTTTCCATGAGGAAAACCTGCTACACTGTGCACTGGATCTGTTTTCTGCGGGAACAGAAACAACTTCCGCAACTCTCCGCTGGGCTCTGCTGTACATGGCCCTTCATCCAGACATTCAAGGTAGGGCTGTGCATTTGTCTTTGCATTGCTTCCTTATAATGATTGCTACACTGCACCTTGCTTTGTGAAGTGATTTTTTGCCCCTAGAATACGTCATTTCACAGTAGTGTGTGAAAATCTGTTTTGAGTACTCAGGAACAGAGCTTGTTCCAGGACAGTGCAATCATGTGCCATTGAGCTGTCTCAGTCAGGATACAAACTAAAGCCCTACAAAAGGTTTCTTGAGTTCTTTCACAACATTAAAGAGAGGCAAAATGCAGAAAGGGGTATGTGCACTGCAACCAATAAAGAGTTGATCATATGCCGCATTCCACAAATAATCTCAAACTTTTCTGCAGTGTGGCCAAGCCACAATAAGCCCCTTCCTCTCAAAGGTGCCATGATGCCTTTGTCTGTGTGTTTGGCTTACTGTTTAAGCTGCAGTTTAAAGTTAAATAGCTCACATAGTGGAATAATCTCTTTTATGAATATTTTGCTTGACACAGAGTACACCTTATTTTTCCCACACCATCCAAATTGTGTACAAGTTGAATGTGATTTATGAAGTGCACATGAACTGCCCTTGATGTTGACCCTAATTTCTTCAAGGAGTCCTGCTTGCCTGATGTTTGAGCTATGTCCCCACACCTCCTTCTGTTGATGTCAAACATTGTTTTGTCTGCAGCAAAAGTCCAAGCAGAAATTGATTCTGTGATTGGCCAGTCACGTCAGCCAGCAACAGAGGACCGCGATCGCATGCCCTATACCAATGCAGTCATTCACGAAGTCCAAAGGATAAGCAACATTCTGCCTCTAAATGTACCCCGAATGACCACGAGGGACACAAACGTGGCTGGGTTTTGCCTGCCCAAAGTACGTGTTAAGGAAACAGCTGTAATCCTTCTGCCTTGCCACCCTCTTGGTCACAAGGGCACTGGATCTGAACTAGAATGAGGGCCGCCTTAGCACCACATTTTAAGGGCGTCAGTCAATCCTCCTTGGGGGGAGGGGTGGCTCTTCTCTTTTGGGCTTCTAGTCCTAACTCTGAAGCAGCCCCACATTTTCAGAACATATTAAAATGTCTAAAAGGGGATCTGAGGCTTGTGCCAAGCATTCCAAGAATTCTTATCTAAGGAATAATCTGATGGCCAAAAATTCTTTGCATGTCCGTAGGACAGCCAGGTTCTTAGTGCATTGTTGGTCCACTGATGAGCACTCTGAGGAGTTCCTTGACATTTTCGCCCATCTCCTTTCCTACCTTTTCTTTGACAGGGAAGTATGTTGATCACCAACCTGACCTCTGTGCTGCTTGACAAGGATGAATGGGAAACCCCTGATGTGTTCAATCCTGGCCATTTCCTTGAGAACGGCCACTTCAGGAAAAGGGAAGCGTTCATCCCGTTCTCTGCAGGTGGATGATGGGGGTGGTGGTGGTAGGGGTGCTGGTGGTGGTGATGATGATAAGATTTGATGAACTGCTCATAACTATTACACAAAGCAGTGCTTATGTGGATGACCAAGTAAAAGAAGGGTCCAGAGCAGGACAGCAAGGACATCTGGGGACTGGATTCTGGCAAATTTGGAGAAATTACTCTCTGCATTCTGTACTTAACCAGTTACTGATCCACAATTCATTTTTATTATTATTTTTTTTTCATTCTATGACTGCCATGTTTGTTCAGGGCCTTTCTCAAAATCCTTTCAGATATCCAAATAAAAGCATGTAACATGCTTATTGACACTCTAACAGGGAGAAAGACTTTCCCCTTAAGGAGGCCATGCTGATTTTGTTTTCAAATCAGTGTGCTTCCTGATTCTTTCTTTAATAACACTTTCAAGCAATTTACCCTGAACTGAGTTAGGCACTGAATAGATAGTCATGCATAGGGATGTCCAAGCAGTGGGAATCTCTTAGATTGCCTGGGCTTGGCTCCCCAGACTCCAGTCAACTTTTCCACAGCCCTGAGCCCAGCACACCCAGGGTGCTCACCAGGATTCGAGCTCCACACACTGCACAAGCAGCACCCATATTTTAAGTTTGAATTGGTGTGGAAGGTGTTGTTCCCTCTCTAAGTCTTTAAGATTTGGGAAATGGAGAAAGAAGCAGTAAGAGAGAAAATCTGCACCACATAATGTCCAATATTTCATTATCGTAAAATTCAAGGCCACATTTGTCCAGTTTTCCCACTTGCTTAAATAACTATTGTATACAACAGGTTTGTATATAACTTGCAGACACAGCAATGGCATTCCCCATCCTGGTCTGCCAGGGCCCAGTCCTTTGCTGCGCTGTGTGCAAAGTCCGCTGCTAATTTAGCCACTGTGTCCTCTCTCCTAGGGAAGCGAGCGTGTCTCGGAGAGCAGCTGGCCAGGACAGAGCTTTTCCTTTTCTTCACCGCTCTAATCCAGAAGTTCACTTTCCAGCCTCCGGAGGATGTGACATTAAGCCTCGACTGCCGGATGGGTATTTCAATGGCTCCTCAACCATACTGGATACATGCATTCTCTCGCTGAGGGAAGCCACATTATCCTTGGCCAGCTGTCAATATTTCTTCCCCCTCTGTTCTTAGGGGCCATTGTGGAACCAATGGCAGGCACAGTCCCTTGTTATGCAATGCCTGGATGAGGAATTGTTGTGCATTTTTATTTTCATAGGACTGTGGAGTTGGAGAAGAGTCCAAACTTCTCTAGGACATATTCAGTCTCTGTCATCCTTCAGGAGGAAATGGAGCAATACAAAATTGTTGCGGAAAACTAATTTGAAGCCGGTAAAAGGCCAAATTTTTTGGGTCCTTCAGAATGGAGATATGGAATACTGAGATACTAATGCAGGAGAGTTCTGTCTTCCAGCACCAAGCTCAGTTCAACACAATCTCAGTCCTGCTCAAGTTAGTCAAGACCAAGCCCTGTTACAGCTAGTCAGTGAGTGCTTTTGCATTTTCCATTGCTATCAATAATATTTAGGACTATCTGGACCTGGATTAGGGCAATGATGTTGATTTCCCAGTACTAATAGAAGTACTGCTCAGGTTTTTTGAGTTCCACCTTTATAAGCCTCAATCTCATCTGTGCATCAGAAATAACACCTGTTGAGCTAATAATGTATACGTGGCATCTATGACCTGCCTCTAACTGTACAACTATAAAACGACTCTGCTGATTCTGCTTAAATTCTCCTTGGTACAGCAAGTTGCAAAGTGCTGCTAATTGACAGACTGGTCCTTTTTCTCTGAAATGTGGCTCAGCAAATCTTCTATTTCCTGCAAAGTCTGGTGATCCCTCTCAATATACCTTATTCTGGCTCGTTCAGCTGATGTGCCTTTTATCGGTTTGGTGGAATCCTGAGCAGCCCTGGAAACATTACAGAGGGCTCCCTGCCCAATGGAAGCTGTAGCAGCAGGTGTGATGCTGCCTGTGCTTGAAGGAATTCTATCACAGAGCTTTCTGTATGTGCCTTCCTGTCCCTTCAGTTATGGAACGTTATCCTCAGCACACTTGCACATTATTCACAGACTGCAATTCAAGGGACCCATCAGGAAAGAAGTCCCCCTGTGACCTTTGGTGCAAAGCACAATACTGTTTGGGAGGCTGCTCTGACATGCTAGTGGGTGTTGCTTTCCCAGCAGGTACATAAAAGGTGGCAGCAAGCAGGCTCACCTGCCACCTTACCTCATGACTGCCAGCTCAGTTTCTAGAAAACTCCCAGAAAATTCTGCTCACACTTACCAGGAATATGGACTCTGGACTGCTGCAATTTGGACCAGAGTCTGGGATGCTGAAAAAAAGGAATCAGTTTCACTGATTTTTAAAAGGGATCAAAAATAGTGTCTGTTGGCAATATGAGCAAACTGGGTGTGTGGGAAATTATTGATTTTGAGTACAACAGAGTGGCTTAATTGGTTCTATTTCTATTAATTTGTAGGTCATTATCTGGTGCTCACAGGGGCTTAAGCATAACATTGGATGAGACAAGCAGACAAAAGATAACCTATGCATATTTGCTGTTGTGAAGTGACACCAAGGAGGGGTTAAGCTGAAGCAAAGAAGTAGTTGCAAGAAGTGGGGCCAGTCATCCCTTCTTTTCATCAGAGCTACCAGACAGATGGTTCCATCCCCACCAAGAACACTTTCTTCCACAAATATTTGCAGGAAGCTACAGCAGTTAATATGGCATGAGCCTCAAATTGTTCTGTAGTGTTCAGATTTTTATGGAAGACATATTGAGAAAAGACATGATATTAAGAAGAGACAAAACGAAGTGACCTGAGGACCAGGTTTCTAGGCTGCTAATTGTACTTCAGTCCAGTAAGGATTTTTAAAAATCAATGTGCAAATTTAAAACAGATTAAACAACTAAAACAATTGCAATACAAGCTGAATTGCAATACAGCTGATATATCCCATCATATATCAAATGTCAAAGAGAAAAGTCTCTTGGAGAATCTGACTGTCCAAAGCTCCTAGAGCAAAGGAAGCTTGTCCATATCTTGCCAAGTGTTGCTGGGGCAGAGCGGTCAATTTCCTTGATCAATAAACTTGATAAAAGGTGCCCAAGTACACTCAAATGTGCCAACCTCTAGATCAGGGGTCTCAAACTCGTGGCCTGTGGGCCACTTGCCGGGACGGGCGGGGCATGGGGGAGGGGCCCTGTGGCCTTCAAAGAGGCGGCGGCGCCCGGGCCGGCCTCCGGATGAGCGGCCCACCACCACCGCGGTGGAGGAATACTTGATGCGGCCCAGCCTCACCCAGACTCTACTTCCAGCGGCGCCCAGGTCAGTTGAGTTTGAGGCCCCTGCTCTAGATCATGGGTCCTCAAACTATGGCCTGGGGGCCAGCTTTGGCCCGCCATGCCCATTTGGACCCGCGCACACGCCACCGCCTACCTCACCCCACATGCGGGGAGGCAGTGGTTTGCTCACTCGGGGAAAACGATCTCCAAGCGAGCAAGCCGCTGCCTTGTGCGCCCGCTTCATGGCGTATGCCCGCCCCTGCCTCGTCTCCCGCCTCACCTTGCCTCATGCCCCGCCCCCACCTCAGTGCACATGCGTGTGCACACTGCACACTGCCCCCGTGCTGGCTCGTGCGCCCCACCAGCACCACCTTTCTGGCCTGCACCCAGCACCAGCAGCTTTCAAGTGGCCCCCTGATGGAAAAGTTTGAGGACCTCTGCTCTTTTAGATTCCTAACTTGCTGGGTCAGCTTCTCCAACAGAGCCAAATTGCACTTTCTTATCCCAGTTGCTCACATTAGGGATTCAAGCACCTTTGCAGATTTGGACAAAAACTTGTCTAGCAGCCAACAGCAAAAAAGAAACCAGATCTTTCTGCAAATAAAGAGATGCCGAGGCATGTGGTGACGGCATATAAAAGTTTTAAATAAATAAATAAATAAATATTTGCTGTTGAGTTCTTTAGTTAAATTAAGTAAAGCATAACCTGGTTGATTTCTAGAATGTTTGATTGGTGAGTGGTTTTAGCAGTTTCATGTTCAGTCTCTCCCCAGAAGCACTGGGTAAACGGTCCACCGATGGTGAGAGTAGGTCCCTCAGGCTCCACCCGCCCCCATCATGCAGACTTACTTTTAGTAATTCTTGCAAGCTTCACTAGTGTGAAATGCCATCATTGGATTGCCTTGACTGAACTTTCTCTGGTATGGGATGAGATTTATTTCAGTGGCTGGGCAGACCAATTTTTTTGCCATTTTCTATCACTACTGGAGATTTTGCTCCCATGCTATAATTAGGTGATAATTAGCACCTCTTAGGTGATAATTAGCAACATCAAGGAGGCATTTATAGATTGCTGAGACAATTCCTTTGGAGCCCAGGATATAGCTAAGGGTCCTTTCAAATTATGTAAGCTGCCTTGTATCTTGCTGTACAACCAGTGGGACCTTTAAAAAGTTGAGGACTTCGAGCCATGCATTAGAGATATCAGAAATTCTGTCTTTATTTTGCTGTTCTGGTAAACACAGTCCCTTGGGAAAGAAATCTAGCTGTTTACGCAAACCACATTGTTCCCAAAGTGGAACTATTTGTATGGGTGTGGTTGCAAAATAATCCCCACAATAGGCTCACAGTTAATTTCCTGCACCCCTTCTGGCAACCGGAATGTGAATGCCTGCAGGAGACTGGCAAACAGGATGAAAAAGATGGCTCTTTCCAGCTTCTTTCCAACACACACACACGCATATACATGGCCCCTGAAAGAGGAAGATGAGGACTAGCACCATGTGAAAGTAGAATAAGGAGCAGGTACTGGAATCTCTGCCATCAGTGGGGCTGTGCATCCACTCCGGGTTGAAGTTTGGAATTTTAAGGGGCTAGCCATGGTTTTGAACCTATTTGGTAGACAGGGGTCAGTGCCATGTATCACTCTTTTCATGTTCAGGCTAAAGCCATCCCACTGATACCAGAGCCTACAACCTCCAGGGCAAATAGGCATGTATGTATTGCTACGTTTAAGGTTTTGAGCATGTAATCCTTAAGTTATGGCTTATACATGTAAGAAATGCACAGAAAAGAATCCCATAAGAGTACAGATCCAGACCAGACTTTAGCTTGTGAAGCTTTTGCTTCTATTGGCCTCTCTACATACCCATGTCACCTATTTTGATCAGCCTTGCCAGATGCCAATTCTGCTGCTCTTTCCTCCAAGAATTGCTCTCCCAGGCCAGCTCCCTCTGGCCCTGTTCAAACCCCCGCTGCTTTGCTATTTGCTGTGTGTCTGGCTCCCATGGACCTTTGCCTTAACACTATTTTTCTCTTTTACCAAAAGGAAAAAAAGGCAAGTCTCTTCCAAGAATCATTTCCTGTTCTCACTAGGCAGGGACAGAGACATGGGAAAACGGCACAGCAGGCCTGAAGTGATATGAGCAATCTGGTTTCCCTGGAAGCAGTTTTCTGACTGTGCTGCTTTAACAGTATTTTGCAACTCACTGGGGTACAGTCAGGTCAGGAGAAAATCACCAGAATCCATCCCTCCAACATTTCTGGGTTTTCACTCATGCACAGTCTAGTCTTGCCAAGCAAGCAGAGAGGAAGTCTTCAAACTCTCACACAGCAAGTTTTGCACAACTGACGAGCTTCTGCTGCATCAGAAGCTGCTGCAGGTGTAGTGGAAGAGGGTGCTGCTTGTGCAGCACGTACATGGAGTTCAATTCGTGGCAAACATGGGGCACAAACACCAGGAACTTGGACTCAGGGCCATGACAATGCTGACCAGAGTTTGGGGAGCTGACCCCAGGGAACCAAATTCCCAGCCCCAAAATGGATTTCTCCCCATCCCTTGGGTAGAGTGCTGAATTTCCCCTGCTCAGTCCAGAAAAGAAGCAAAATATTATTGTGCTACCTGCTGAAAAGGGCAAGAAAGCATTTTTGCTTACGAAATTCCCATCCTTGCCCAGGAAGTGATTTGGGTTGAACTTGCGTGGCATCTCCTACACCTCGAGGTCATAATGTGATGAGAAGAGGTTTGGGATGACAATAGTGCCCTGGAAAGAAATGATAAATGAATGACAAGGGAAAGGCCCTGTTGATGCACAGTTTACTACAGTAGAGGCCCCAGTCTGCCTCCCAGAGGAAATTAAGAAAGGCCCTGTCCACCCATGATCCCTGCTGTGGGGCCCCAGTATACCACCCAGAGGATCTGTGGAGGGATCCGGCACAGCCCCATGGGTAGATGGGGCCCCTGCCACGGCATCAAGACGGCTGTAGTAACCGGCATCAGTGCAGGACCTGCCAGGATGCATGCAGGACGTCAGGGGGCCGACTTGCAGAACTGCCCCCACGTACCTGCCCTTGCCCTTCTGGCCCTCCACCCTTTTGTGGCCTTTTTGGCCTCCTTCGCCCTGTGTTCCTCCTCATCTGTGCACCAGGACAATGGCCTGGGCAGGACGGGAGGAGTGGCCGGTGGAGCTCTGGTAGCCGCAGATGGGTGGGTTGCTCCTGCGGGGCAGGGAGGTGCTCTGCCAGCAGGGCCGAGGCCTAGTCGGCAGCCAGCAGGTGTGGCTCCGCGATCTGGCTTTAGGTCAGGCCACTCGGTTCTGGTGGTCTGGGGGGAGGGGGTCCTCTCCCAGGCAGAAGAGGCACAGGGGGGTGTTGCCAATTGCAGCACCCCAAAACACCCCAAAAGTAGTTGGCCAGAGGAAGGCCACATAGTAAAAACACCACAGTTATACTGTCCCAGAAGGGAGGGGGGATCAGAACAAAATGAGCTTTGTGTAACCCACAGCTAACACACCAGCCTGACCTCGAATGCGGTAATCAAAGGGACAGTGGACACGGGTTGCAGCCGCCATGGAAGTTGCAAATGTGCAGGGAGGAAGAACATGGCAAGCCTGTGTGAATCTCGAGCAGATAAGAAATAGACATGGGAAATGTCTGGTCCTCGGCAGAAGGAAGGACTCTTTCTCCAGCACGGGAGGGGTCCGTACGTTGATGTATCGCTGCATTAGATGTGTGTTAGGTGACCTAATTGCTTGCCTGGGGTATCAAATGCACGTACTGGGGTGCAACGTTTGAGACACTGCTTTGGGCTGAATGTCCTTTTGTCTGCCCTTATTCTGTGGTGCACTAGAATAAAGCCGGTTTGGCTCCAAGTCTCGCCGCAGGCTCCGTCTGGCTCGGGCCTGGGGTCCGCCCGGGTTTGCCCCGGCTGTTGGCTGGCTCAGTCCGGTAACAGGGGAAGGTCTGTGGGAGGCAGGTGCCTTCCTCAGTCCACACACTTCTAACAGAAGCCCTGAAAGCCATGGGGAGAGAGCAAGGGCGGGACAAAAGGAGAGCCCCAGAAGGTCAGCAACAGGTACTATTTCTAGAGACATCACTGTTTTTTTTAAATTATTTTGGGTAAGAGTTGAGGAGTAAAGATCATAAAAGTTCAGTGGCGCCTCAGACTTCGAACTTAATTCATTTCAGGTGGCCATTTGAACACTGAATCGTTCGAAATCCAAATAAATTTCCCCCATTAGAAATCATGGAAAGTGAATTAATCTGTTCCCAGACCCTAAACAATGCCCATTTTAATACATCTAAACAGCAAATACGGACTCTTGAAATGAATTAAGTTTGAGGTTATATATGAGATATGATAAAAAATATAAATTTAAAAGAATTATTACACAAAGGTGAGAGTTTTCAAAGAACAGAAGTAGATTTTTAAAAGTTTATAAAGCTGAGGTAAAAAATGGAGAAGCTAGGCACAGACCTGAGGCACCCCAACCTGAGGCAGTTGGAAATGAGAAAATGGCGGGAGCCCCACCCTAAAGTACTGAGGGGGGAGGGGTGGGGAGGCCCCACCCTTAAGTACTGAGGGGGAGGGGCGGCCCCTCCCCCCCATATTATATAAAGGCAGTTTCCCGCCAAAACAGGCTCAGT